CTACTTCTGTTCTAGTTCTGTTCTAGTTCTGTTCTAGTTCTGTTCTATTTCAGTATTTGTGGGATATGTTTTTAGGGCCTTTTTCAGTTAATTGTCCCTTTCACCTGCCTTTTCTGCCTAACAACGAGAAGTGAAATTAATTTGCCTAAAAAAAAACAACTTCATCCAGTCCATGAAAGCTATACAAAAATAGACAGAAAGACAATCAAACGTATTGTGAGAATTGCAACTAATAGGATTTTGATGATGATGCTGCTGCTATTGATGCTGTGGACAACAAGGAGAATAGTTTTACATCTGTGTAGTTAACAAATGATTCACATGTTATTTCCCTTGACTGGTTTTTTAAACCTTGGTCATAATCATTTTTTGTGTTATAAGGATAGGGGGGTTTGAAAAGGGAGGACAGACACCCAGTTATTGTTTTAGTAGTCAGTTGGTTTCCTTCATTATGTTGTTGTATGTGTTTTTGGAGTTTCAATTGATTTTTAGTTGGTTGTCGTCCAGTAGGAATTGTTTGAAATGTTTTTTTTCTGGTTTTGGCCTAAAAGTTGTTGTAATGAATTTTTATCAAATACCAAGATTGTATGTTTTGACCCATGAAATGAGTTTTTGGGTTTTTGCTTGTTTTTGGGGAGAAAATTAATATTTTTTTTTTTGGTATTTATTACCACCGCAAATAACTTGGTCTTGTTAGAGGAATTCTAAATAGGATTCATTTATTTCAAATCTATTATTATGCTCCTCTTTTTTTCAGCAGCTTTAACAATTATAATTAATTTGTCACTAAAGTTTGTTGGTCAAATATGTAAATTGTTCAATTTTCAGCTTAAAATAAACTTTTTAGTTATTTTTTCCCTTTAAATTGTCTATAATACTTCGCCCCCTTTTTTGTTGTTGTTGTTGTTGTATTTAACACCCACTTAACACAATTATGAATATTTCTACACAAAGTCCCCACAAATCTGTTTTCAAGTATTTGGCCTTTCCCTTTTTTTTCAGCAATTTGTTACGTTTCCCACCTAGCTGGACCCACTTGTTTAAGCATATGTGTGTGTGTAAAGGTGAGTCGAGGGGCAGGGGAGGGGATACAGTGTTTTTATAATAAATTTATTTATTCATATTTTGCATTCACCATCCATATAAGCCGATTTATTTATAAAACCGCATACAAAAGCCAAAATGATCATTTGGTTTGGTTTTACTTTCAGTTTAGGATTTTTCATTTATTTTTCTGGCTCTTCATTCTCAATGTTTGTGTGTGTTTTTCTGGTCTTTTTTTTGGGGGAGAAACCTTTTTTGAGCGAATTAAAAAAAGTAATAATAAATTCATTAACAAAGTTTTATGAATATTTTTGTGTGTGCGAACAAAAATTAATTAAGAGAATTTGTAAATTGAGTTCAGGGAATTAAACTTAATACTTTTTTTTAAGGAAAAAATGTTAAAAAATCTATTTCACATTAATATCCACTAATCCACCACCTTCTCTAAGCTTTCCTTCCCCTTTAAATTATATACTTCTTATTAAACTAAACATTATTTAATATTTATAACGCTAAACAAAATATTCCACTTCATTTAAATTCCTATTAACAAATCAACCTCAAAATTTATTGCAGCATTTAAGCATTCAATGTTACCTGGTCTTATTTGAAACAATAAATCGCTTGCTTGTTGTATCAACCTGCATATGGTCAAATTTGTCTTATTGCAACATTGCTAGTCGCTTTGTTATATCTCGCATGTTTATAGTGTTAAAACCAAAAAAAAAAACGGAAATAATCTAAACATCTAAATAGTTGAACTTATTAAATTCAGAGTTAAACAGAAAATTGCAAAAGAAAACAATTATGGAAATTTATCGATACAAGCAGAATATGAAATAAACTACACTATACATCCTACAAATAGTGATTACTTTGGACTACTACTACTAGACTATATACCATATTAAAATATTAATATAGAAATTACTATAGACTAGAATATATTTACGTACTATAGAGTATACTATAGAATACACTATAGACCAGATTATAGACTAGCCTATAGCCTAGACTATAGACTTGACTATAGAATAAACTATATTCTAGACTATAAACTATACTACAAACCAGATTATAGACCAGACTATAAACTAGACTACAACTGTACTAGAATTGAACAAGAACAGAACAGAACTAGAACAGAACTAGAACAGAACTAGATCAGAACTAGAACAGAACTAGAACAGAACTAGAACGAACTAGAACAGAACTAGAACAGAACTAGAACAGAACTAGAACAGAAACTAGAACAGAACTAGAACAGAACTAGAACAGAACTAGAACAGAACTAGAACAGAACTAGAACAGAACTAGAACAGAACTAGAACAGAACTAGAACAGAACTAGAACAGAACTAGAACAGAACTAGACAGAACAGAACTAGACACAGAACTAGAACAGAACTAGAACAGAACTAGAACAGAACTAGAACAGAACTAGAACAGAACTAGAACAGAAACTAGAACAGAACTAGAACAGAACTAGAACAGAACTAGAACAGAACTAGAACAGAACTAGAACAGAACTAGAACAGAACTAGAACAGAACTAGAACAGAACTAGAACAGAACTAGAACAGAACTAGAACAGAACTAGAACAGAACTAGAACAGAACTAGAACAGAACTAGAACAGAACTAGAACAGAACTAGAACAGAACTAGAACAGAACTAGAACAGAACTAGAACAGAACTAGAACAGAACTAGAACAGAACTAGAACAGAACTAGAACAGAACTAGAACAGAACTAGAACAGAACTAGAACTAGAACAGAACTAGAACAGACCTAGAAGAATAGAATAGAACAGAACTAGAACAGAACTAGAACAGAACAGAACAGAACGACAGAACAGAACTAGAACAAGAACTAGAACTAGAACTAGAACAGAACTAGAACAGAACTAGAACATAAACTAGAACAGAACTAGAACAGAACTAGAACAGAACTAGAACAGAACTAGAACAAAACTAGAACAGAACTAGAACAGAACTAGAACAGAACTAGAACAGAACTAGAACAGAACTAGAACAGAACAGACGAACTAGAACAGAACTAGAACAGAACTAGAACAGAACAGAACTAGAACAGAACTAGAACAGAACTTAGAACAGAACTAGAACAGAAACTAGAACAGAACTAGAACAGAACTAGAACAGAACTAGAACAGAACTAGAACAGAACTAGAACAGACTAGAACAGAACTAGAACAGAACTAGAACAGAACTAGAACAGAACTAGAACAGAACTAGAACAGAACTAGAACAGAACTAGAACAGAACTAGAACAGAACTTAAACCGAACTAGAACAGAACTAGAACAGAACTAGAACTAGAACTAGAACAGAACTAGAACAGAACTAGAACAGAACTAGAACAGAACTAGAACAGAACTAGAACAGAACTAGAACAGAACTAGAACAGAACTAGAACAGAACTAGAACAGAAATAGAACAGAACTAGAACAGAACTAGAACAGAACTAGAACAGAACTAGAACAGAACTAGAACAGAACTAGAACAGAACTAGAACAGAACTAGAATAGAACTAGAACAGAATTAGAACAGAACTAGAATAGAACTAGAACAGAACTAGAACAGAACTAGAACAGAACTAGAACTGAACTAGAACTAGAACTGAACTAGAACTAAACTAGAAGTGAACTAGAAGTGAACTAGAACTAGATCAGAACTAGAACAGAACTAGAACAGAACTAGAACAGAACTAGAACAGAACTAGAACAGAACTAGAACAGAACTAGAACAGAACTAGAACAGAACTAGAACAGAACTATAACAGAACTAGAACAGAACTAGAACAGAACTAGAACAGAACATAGAACAGAACTAGAACAGAACTAGAACAGAACAGAACTAGAACAGAACTAGAACAGAACTAGAACAGAACTAGAACAGAACTAGAACAGAAATAGAACAGAACTAGAACAGAACTAGAATAGAACTAGAACAGAACTAGAACAGAACTAGAACAGAACTAGAACAGAGCTAGAACAGAACTAGAACAGAACTAGAATAGAACTAGAACTGAACTAGAACTGAACTAGAACAGAACTAGAACAGAACTAGAACAGAACTAGAACAGAACTAGAACAGAACTAGAACAGAACTAGAACAGAACTAGAATAGAACTAGAACAGAACCAGAACAGAAGTAAAACCGAACTAGAGCAGAAGTCTGCACTATGGGCTAGACTATACTCTGAGCAAACTCTTCCAAATACCTTAACTCACTTTATATACCTTAACTTTTATAAGCCGTCATATCTATTACCCACAAATCTTCAGACAAACAACATTTATCAAGTCTAAAAACAAAGTGATGCAAGTTTAAGCCAACGAACTTGTTGCTACTGCTTAACGCTTTGATGTTGCAATTGAAAAAATCACCTGCATCAAATGCAACCAGCATAAAGCTACTGCCTAACATGCAGTCAGGCAGTAGCACAAACAAATAGTTTTGCTATTTTCCAGTTGTACAAATTGAATTTCTTAAGATTTTGCCAATTTTAATTATGTGACGAGAGTGGTCTACTGACTTACTGGCCGCCCGTCTCATGATATGAAAAAGCATAAAATGTGCATGCTACGTTTGTGGCAAGTTGAGAAAAAAAAAACAAGCTTTGGTTGCATTTGTTGTATTTGTTTAGTGTTTTGACTGTGATCAGTAGTTTGCTGCTGCATTAAACGCTCTAATGGTTGGCTTTTAGCTGGTTTCACACAATTTTTTTTTTTGAGTTTTTATTTTAGGAGGTTTGATGTTGGACATGATTATTGCGACACTTCATTTTAATCGTGCTGTTTGCTTGTTTTTTGCTTTAAATTTAGTTGAAATTCAATTAAGTTAGCTGGTGTATATGTATGTGTGTATGTGTGAATGTGCATAATATTTATTTTGTTTTTATTTTCTGTCTGCAGCAAATTCTTAAACTTTAGTTTTGAAGTTGCTGCTGTCTTAAATTTTTATTTTATTTATTTAGTTTTTTCAATCACAACTTGGCAAAGTTTTATTTCAGTTAACTGGCGGCGTTTTTGGTGTAAAGTTTATTATTAAATAAAGTTCTTAAGAAAATAATAAAAACAACAAATTAAAGATTTTTGCAATAATGGCATTGAATTTTTATTATATTATTGCTGTTGTGTTTTTCTTAAGCCTTCGGGATTATGTGAAAAGTGAAGATAAATTTTTAACAGATTCGCGTAAGTGATGGAAAAGTAAAAGAAAAATTTGTTAATTTAAAAAACGGAATAAATACATAATTAAGAGAAATAAATAAACATTCACTTTACATGTTGCAATGTGCATAAGGCATGCAACACTTATAACTAACTAAAAAATACAAAACAAAAATTGCAGACAACTGTGTAAAAAGTGTTTGTAAATATTTAATAAATAATGAAGAAAACATAATTGTGGAAAAAAACTTAAAAATAATTATGTTAATTTCATATAAAATTAAAAAAAATTATTCAAAATTTTGCTTCTGATTGAGCAAGTGATAACTACAACAAACAAGTCTGACCAGTTTATATCAAAAAATTATAATTCAATATAATGCAACATAATTTGTAACTGGACTTAATATAGAATGAAACAATTGCAACATAATGTCTCATTGCTTCTGTTAATACAATTATTAGTTCTTTCGGAATTTAAACTAAACCTTTCAATATTTCCTCTTTAACAGCAGATACATCAAAGGTTGTCAGATTGCTGATAAGAACTTCACCCAATGTTCTACTGAAAGTATACAAAAGCTATTTGATAAACTAAATGGAGGGTAAGTTGTTAACTGGGACAAAAGAAGCTTAAGCTGTTAAAGACTATAGACTAGACTATAGACTGGGCTATAAACCAGGCTATAGACTAGACTATAGACTAGACTACACTATTGACTAGACTATAGACTAGTCTAGTCTATAGTCTAGTCTATGGTCTAGTCTGTAGTCTAGTCTATAGTCTAGTCTATAGTCTAGTCTATAGTCTAGTCTATAGTCTAGTCTATAGTCTAGTCTATAGTCTAGTCTATAGTCTAGTCTATAGTCTAGTCTATAGTCTAGTCTATAGTCTAGTCTATAGTCTAGTCTATAGTCTAGTCTATAGTCTAGTCTATAGTCTAGTCTATAGTCTAGTCTATAGTCTAGTCTATAGTCTAGTCTATAGTCTAGTCTATAGTCTAGTCTATAGTCTAGTCTATAGTCTAGTCTATAGTCTAGTCTATAGTCTAGTCTATAGTCTAGTCTATAGTCTAGTCTATAGTCTAGTCTATAGTCTAGTCTATAGTCTAGTCTATAGTCTAGTCTATAGACTAGTCTATAGTCTAGTCTATAGACTAGTCTATAGTCTAGTCTATAGTCTAGTCTATAGTCTAGTCTATAGTCTAGTCTATAGTCTAGTCTATAGTCTAGTCTATAGTCTAGTCTAGTCTATAGTCTAGTCTATAGTCTAGTCTATAGTCTAGTCTATAGTCTAGTCTATAGTCTAGTCTATAGTCTAGTCTATAGTCTGGTCTATAGTCTAGTCTATAATCTAGTCTATAGTCTAGTCTAGTCTATAGTCTAGTCTATAGTCTAGTCTATAGACTAGTCTATAATCTAGTCTATAGTCTAGTCTATAGACTAGTCTATAATCTAGTCTATAGTCTAGTCATAGTCTAGTCTATAGACTAGTATAGATCTAGTCTAAGTCTAGTCTATAGACTAGTCTATAGTCTCTATAGTCTAGTCTATAGTCTAGTCTATAGATAGTCTATAGTCTAGTCTATAGTCAGTCTATAGTCTAGTCTATAGTCTGTCTATAGTCTAGTCTATAGTCTAGTCTATAGTCTAGCTATAGTCTGGATATAACTAGCTATAGTCTAGTCTATAGTCTAGTCTATAGTCTAGTCTATAGTCTGTCTATAGTCTAGTCTATAGTCTAGTCTATAGTCTAGTCTATAGTCTATAGTCTATAGTCTAGTCTATAGTCTAGTCTATAGTCTAGTCTATAGTCTAGTATAGTCTAGTCTATAGTCTAGTCTATAGTCTAGTCTATAGTCTAGTCTATAGTCTAGTCTATAGTCTAGTCTATAGTCTAGTCTATAGTCTAGTCTATAGTCTAGTCTATAGTCTAGTCTATAGTCTAGTCTATAGTCTAGTCTATAGTCTAGTCTATAGTCTAGTCTATAGTCTAGTCTATAGTCTAGTCTATAGTCTAGTCTATAGTCTAGTCTATAGTCTAGTCTATAGTCTAGTCTATAGTCTAGTCTATAGTCTAGTCTATAGTCTAGTCTATAGTCTAGTCTATAGTCTAGTCTATAGTCTAGTCTATAGTCTAGTCTATAGTCTAGTCTATAGTCTCGTCTAGTCTATAGTCTAGTCTATAGTCTAGTCTATAGTCTAGTCTATAGTCTAGTCTAGTCTAGTCTATAGTCTAGTCTATAGTCTAGTCTATAGTCTAGTCTATAGTCTAGTCTAGTATAGTCTAGAGTCTATAGTCTAGTCTATAGTCTAGTCTATAGTCTAGTCTATAGTCTAGTTCTATAGTCTAGTCTATAGTCTAGTCTAGTTAGTCTATGTCTAGTATAGTCTAGTCTATAGTCTAGTCTATAGTCTAGTCTATAGTCTAGTCTATAGTCTAGTCTATAGTCTAGTCTATAGTCTAGTCTATAGTCTAGTCTATAGTCTAGTCTATAGTCTAGTCTATAGTCTAGTCTATAGTCTAGGTCTATAGTCTAGTCTATAGTCTAGTCTATAGTCTAGTCTATAGTCTAGTCTATAGTCTAGTCTATAGTCTAGTCTATAGTCTAGTCTATAGTCTAGTCTATAGTCTAGTCTATAGTCTAGTCTATAGTCTAGTCTATAGTCTAGTCTATAGTCTAGTCTATAGTCTAGTCTATAGTCAAGTCTATAGTCAGTCTATAGTCCTAGTCTATAGTCTAGTCTATAGTCTAGTCTATAGTCTAGTCTATAGTCTAGTCTATAGTCTAGTCTATAGTCTAGTCTATAGTCTAGTCTATAGTCTTGTCTATAGTCTAGTCTATAGTCTAGTCTATAGTCTTGTCTATAGACTATAGACTTGTATTATTGTGGGTCGATTTAAACTTTATATACCCATTCTTCTCACAAATTACCACATCATCTCTTCCAGGCATTCCCGGTTTGGATAGCATCAAAAGTTTCGATCCATTCTACTTGAATCGCATTAAAATTACCCAAGGCAATAGTCAGGCGATTAACTTGAAAGTCGAACTATCAAATGTAAAAATTATAGGTTTTGGTCATACCAATGTGTTGGAGAGTGCGTGAGTGAAAAGTCCTCAATCACTTTCGAACTTTTCTTATATGTTCTTAAACTTGTAGAGTCTCTTCCAAAGATTTTAGTTGGAAAACTACTTTCGTTTTACCAGTAATGAAATTACAGGGAGATTACAGTCTGTTTGGCAGAATATTGTTGATACCCTTGAATGGTAGAGGTGAAGTTTTTTTGGATGCGGGTTAGTTTATAATTGAATGAAGATACAAAAATTTAAATATTTTTACAATTTAAGAAAACATGACTGTGGTAATGCATACCAAGACCAGATTGTACGAAAAGGGAGGATTTACTTTTTACAATGTTACCAGCACCCATGTGGACTTTAAATTGGAGGGTCTAAAATCGTATTTCTCTAATCTTTTCAATGGACAAAAGCAATTGGGTGAGTATGGCTTAAATACTATAAGCACCATATAATACCACTTTTTTCCCATTCGCAGAGGACAGCACTAATAAATTCTTCAATGACAACTGGCGCATGTTAACCGATGCTTTATATACCGTCATCACCCAAACCATCCAGGATATTTTACTAGATGTTTTGAGAAAAATTTTCCACTTCATACCGGCCAATTTCTTTGTCACCGATATACCCACCTCAGAGCAGTTGTATGGTAAAGCAAAACCTAAAAAATCTTAATTAATAGTTATTCTTATCAATTGTTAAACAAATGTAAATATTTAAGCATTTTATTGCAATAAAGTGTTAAAGTAATATTAAGTAATCTATAGATTGTTGGCAGATTGTGTAATGTATATATAATGTAAATATTTCGTTAAATAAAATTCGTTAAATTACTTAATTTGGTTTAAAATCACATTATACGAAAAACTGCGCACAGCATTAATTTGTAGTGCGGGCCTATAAAAATCCTTAACCAAACACCAACGATCAATTAAGTTTTTATCCACAAACAGAATGTGTAATGTTGTTGTTCCAGCCGATATCCTCTTACAAATCAATGTGATAAAACAAGCAGGGAGGAACAAACGAGTTGGACATACTTTAGTTTACTTAAGTTCTGAACTAGAACTGAACTAGAACTGAACTAGAACTGAACTAGAACTGACTAGAACTAGAACTGAACTAGAACTGAACTAGAACTGAACTAGAACTGAACTAGAACTGAACTAGAACTGAACTAGAACTGAACTAGAACTGAACTAGAACTGAACTAGAACTGAACTAGAACTGAACTAGAACTGAACTAGAACTGAACTAGAACTGAACTAGAACTGAACTAGAACTGAACTAGAACTGAACTAGAACTGATCTAGAACTGAACTAGAACTGAACTAGAACTGAACTAGAACTGAACTAGAACTGAACTAGAACTGAACTAGAACTGAACTAGAACTGAACTAGAACTGAACTAGAACTGAACTAGAACTGAACTAGAACTGAACTAGAACTGAACTAGAACTGAACTAGAACTGAACTAGAGCTGAACTAGAACTGAACTAGAACTGAACTAGAACTGAACTGAACTAGAACTGAACTAGAACTGAACTAGAACTGAACTAGAACTGAACTAGAACTGAACTAGAACTGAACTAGAACTGAACTAGAACTGAACTAGAACTGAACTAGAACTGAACTAGAACAGAACTAGAACAGAACTAGAACAAAACTAGAACAGAACTAGAACAGAACTAGAACAGAACTAGAACAGAACTAGAACAGAACTAGAACAGAACTAGAACAGAACTAGAACAGAACTAGAACAGAACTAGAACAGAACTAGAACTGAACTAGAACAGAACTAGAATAGAACTAGAACAGAACTAGAACAGAACTAGAACAGAACTGGAACAGAACTAGAACAGAACTAGAACAGAACTAGAACAGAACTAGAACAGAACTAGAACAGAACTAGAACAGAACTAGAACAGAACTAGAACAGAACAAGAACAGAACTAGAACTGAACTAGAACAGAACTAGAACAGAACTAGAACAGAACTAGAACAGAACTAGAACAGAACTAGAACAGAACTAGAACAGAACTAGAACAGAACTAAAACAGAACTAGAACAGAACTAGAACAGAACTAGAACAAAACTAGAACAGAACTAGAACAGAACTAGAACAGAACTAGAACAGAACTAGAACAGAACTAGAACTGAACTAGAACTGAACTAGAACTGAACTAGAACTGAACTAGAACTGAACTAGAACTGAACTAGAACTGAACTAGAACTGAACTAGAACTGAACTAGAACTGAACTAGAACTGAACTAGAACTGAACTAGAACTGAACTAGAACAGAACTAGAACTGAACTAGAACTGAACTAGAACTGAACTAGAACTAAACTAGAACTGAACTAGAACGGAATCAGAACTGAACTAGAACTGAACTAGAACTGAACTAGAACTGAACTAGAACTGAACTAGAACTGAACTAGAACTGAACTAGAACTGAACTAGAACTAGAACTGAACTAGAACTAGAACTGAACTAGAACTGAACTAGAACTGAACTAGAACTGAACTAGAACTGAACTAGAACTGAACTAGAACTGAACTAGAACTGAACTAGAACTAAACATGAGAATAAGAACACGATTTTCCGAAAATATTTTGAGAATTGGAAATGAGATTTACTTGGAATAACATGGGAAAAGGAACTATGACTTCTCTGGAATAGCATAAAAATGAGAACGAACATGAGAGTTAATCCGGTCCTTCGACTCTCAAATTAGCACAACTCTGTACTTACTGCCTCTAAATGTCAGTTAACTCTTTTTTCCCAAAATTAAAAAAAAACAAGTTAAATACAAAAAAACCTACATGCACTCGTAAATGGTCTTAACCACAAATACAATGAAACCGTATGTGTTAAATTAATTGCCCTGTTTCCTGATGCTGCTGCTACTACTCTTGGCCGATGTTGCCATATCAGCGGTATATTGTTGCTATATTGCATTACATTGTTATTGTTGTGTTTCCTTCTCTTGTACGTTCTCATTCCTTTTTTTATATTTTTAATTGTAATTTTTACAGCAATTAATTTATTTTATTAAACAGTTATTTTTACTCACATCAGTACGAAAATGGACTAGGAGCAGGACATTTGTTGGAATTTTAAAATGCATGAGTGTAGATTTGTATGTGTGCACTTTTTTTTGGTTATTTGTCCTGCTTGTGTTTTTTTTTTCTCGCCTACAAAAGTGCATTTAATTTGTCCAGAATGTCCAAATGCAACACAAAATTGGTTGTCGTTTCAAAAATGTTTTGTGGTTTTTGTGATTTTAAATTGGCTGCGTTAACCAAATAAATTTATTTAGATTAATTTTATTTAATGTTTTAGACATTGTTTTACGAGCATATTTAAATACATGGAGCATATATACACACATACAGACACCGGCTCACATGCCGGGGAAAAAATTAAATAAATTGTTTTAAATTAAATTCTAGAAAGTAAAAAATGGTCACTGTTAGTGTGAGTGAGTTATAATGGAACCACAATGTGTTTAACAAAACTAATGAGAGAAAAACTTAAAAAATGTATAGCGACATTAAAGGGGACTGAAAATGGGAACTTAGTTTCATTAATATTAGAACGTTACTAAAACTGTACTAGAACTGATATTGTGCTGAACTAGAAATGAACTAAAACTGAACTAAAGCTGAACTAGAACTGAACTAGAACTGAACTAGAACTAAACTAGAACTAAACTAGAACTGAACTAGAACAGAACTAGAACTGAACTAGAACTGAACTAGAACTGAACTAGAACTGAACTAGAACTGAACTAGAACTTAACTAGAACTTAACTAGAACTTAACTAGAACTGAACTAGAACTGAACTAGAACTGAACTAGAACTGAACTAGAACTAAACTAGAACTTAACTAGAACTGAACTAGAACTGAACTAGAACTGAACTAGAACTGAACTAGAACTGAACTAGAACTGAACTAGAACTGAACTAGAACTGAACTAGAACTGAACTAGAACTGAACTAGAACTTAACTAGAACTTAACTAGAACTGAACTAGAACTGAACAAGAACTAAACTAGAACTGAACCAGAACTGAACTAGAACTGAACTAGAACTGAACTAGAACTGAACTAGAACTAGAACAGAACTAGAACAGAACTAGAACAGAACTAGAACAGAACTAGAACAGAACTAGAACAGAACTAGAACAGAACTAGAACAGAACTAGAACAGAACTAGAACAGAACTAGAACAGAACTAGAACAGAACTAGAACAGAACTAGAACAGAACTAGAACAGAACTAGAACAGAACTAGAACAGAACTAGAACAGAACTAGAACTAAAACTGAACTAGAACAGAACTAGAGCAGAACTAGAATAGAACTGAAACAGAACTAGAACTAGAACAGAACTAGAACAGAACTAGAACAGAACTAGAACAGAACTAGAACAGAACTAGAACAGAACTAGAACAGAACTAGAACAGAACTAGAACAGAACTAGAACAGAACTAGAACAGAACTAGAACAGAACTAGAACAGAACTAGAACAGAACTAGAACAGAACTAGAACAGAACTAGAACAGAACTAGAACAGAACTAGAACAGAACTAGAACAGAACTAGAACAGAACTAGAACAGAACTGAAACAGAACTAGAACAGAACTAGAACAGAACTAGAACAGAACTAGAACAGAACTAGAACAGAACAGAACTAGAACAGAACTATAACAGAACTAGAACAGAACTAGAACAGAACTAGAACAGAACTAGAACAGAACTAGAACAGAACTAGAACAGAACTAGAACAGAACTAGAACAGAACTAGAACAGAACTAGAACAGAACTAGAACAGAACTAGAACAGAACTAGAACAGAACTAGAACAGAACTAGAACAGAACTAGAACAGAACTAGAACAGAACTAGAACTGAACTAGAACAGAACTAGAACAGAACTAGAACAGAACTAGAACAGAACTAGAACAGAACTAGAACAGAACTAGAACTGAACTAGAACTGAACTAGAACAGAACTAGAACAGAACTAGAACAGAACTAGAACAGAACTAGAACAGAACTAGAACAGAACTAGAATAGAACTAGAACAGAACTAGAACAGAACTAGAACAGAACTAGAACAGAACTAGAACAGAACTAGAACAGAACTAGAACAGAACTAGAACAGAACTAGAACAGAACTAGAACAGAACTAGAACAGAACTAGAACAGAACTAGAACAGAACTAGAACAGAACTAGAACAGAACTAGAACAGAACTAGAACAGAACTAGAACAGAACTAGAACAGAACAGAACTAGAACAGAACTATAACAGAACTAGAACAGAACTAGAACAGAACTAGAACAGAACTAGAACAGAACTAGAACAGAACTAGAACAGAACTAGAACAGAACTAGAACAGAACTAGAACATGTAAGGCAAGATTTTTATAAAGAAAAAAAAAAAAAAAACATTACTTGTTATAGTTGTATACATTTTTGAATCTAAAAATATTGCAGGAACTTATCATTTCCTTTTTCTTGTTTTGTTATTCTTGAACAATACATGAAACAAGCTAAATGTGTATGAGTTTACTTGCTGATGTTTGCTTTAATTGTTGCGAGTCTTATTATTTTTCCCTTAATTTGTATTAACATTTTTTCTTTGGATGTACTCTTATCAGCTTACGATTTTTTTATCAACACCTGATTGATAATAAACTAACAAAAATACTCAAATGTTTTCTACACACACATACAGATCGTTTGTAAACATTCTCACCATCCAATGTTTAACAAGAACCAGCAACATCGATTTGTGTCTATGCTAATCTGTTAAGGCTAGTATGCATGTTGCGT